CGGCTTTATGCTGAGAACGTTCCTTTCAACCGCAATTATGTAAACTTTCCTCGAAATTCATTAACTCCCCCTTTAATCAGACTAACGTTATGAGAAATTGAAAAGAGAAGGCACCTCCTCATTCGGCGTTGGTCTTCGAAGTGTTCGAAGAGTAGGCCCCGATGGCGGTGCTGCTGTCGAGGCGATGATTGGTGCCACTGGGACTTCGACTACCTTGCGTGGTCGTCCTGGCCCTCGTTTGAGTCCTTCAGCCTTTTTACTGGTGACCAAAGTAAATCCCTGATCATCAGTTGGTCTGACTGTTTGTGTTGGCGCCATTGTTGGTTTTTCATTCCAAATATCTGCCGTTCTCGATAACAGCTCCATCCGAGCCTTCTCCACACTTCCCTTGTAGACCTGGTAGGTCCGACACGCTGCTTTCTGCCATGAACGATGTTCCTTGCCGCAGTTGGCACAAGAAACCCTTTTCCTCGAACAGTCCCGAGTTTGGTGAGCGCCAGCGCACTCACCGCACCTGGCTGCCTTTCCACACGACACCTGCGTGTGTCCCCGTTGGCTGCAGTTGTAACACTGCTTTGGCTGAGCCCGTGGCGACCACACCTGCGCGGTGAAGAGCATGGCGTTAATAACAAGGCCCTGTCGCACTACCTCCGTTTGCATTGCCTCTGATGGGAGGCTGACCACAACTGAACCACGATTACGACCGTTTTTCTTCGATCGCTGATGTTCCTTTCCATCATGTAGCCATCGTATTCTGCTAATTACCAGGCCTGGAATACGTGCCTTCGTCGCCGTCTCAGTCTCCCTGATGATGGCGTAGTTGTTGGCATCTCTGCCACCCTCAATTCTTGTCCGCAGTGGGACTCCGGAAACCTCAACAGGAATGTCTTGCCGCAAAATTTGAAATTCGCTTGGTTGTCGCATGTTTAGCGCCGTGTCTCTCTGGGACGCCGACTGGACAAACACCTCGGTGTCGTTGCTTCGCATCTGTCGAATTGCAAATGCGCCTTCGATATGTTGTTGTGCCTTTGACAGCAGCTCTTGTGGCTGCAAGTTCTGAGCGCCATCGATTCTGATTCTAACCGCTGTCTTCGTCATTTGCGGAGCCAAGACCGACGCGTAGCTCCTTTGTGTCGGTGCGCCCGAAACCACTGCTGGTGCAGCTTTTCGAGCAGGATCCGCGAGGCTCTTTTTGACAACTTCCTCGAGCGCCATCATCCTCTCCTCGATGGGAGACTTCTTTTGGGACATTTCCGTCCAGGCCCTTTTGTGTGCGTTAAAGGCCTTCACGGCCTCGTTCACATCCTCCATGGAGGGTAAGTCCTCCTCATCCATCTCTCCCATCACGATTAATCTAACCTGTTTCAGTAGTTTCCCCAGGATTTCAAGGTTTCTATCCCTTGGAGCTGTCTGCGCTCCGCTGCCGTTGTTTGTTTGGGCCATTGTCGCATTTTGCGACGCGTCGAATCCGCTGGATTTACCCACACCAGCACCCACACTCGCCATGTTTGAGCACGGAAAGCGAAAAGATGAGAGGAGGGTAATAAAGATGTAAAAATAGTAATCACGATGTCAAATTGATGATACGGGCAGCGTGGAAGGCTGCGCAGCTTTCTCGAAAAAAATGTCAAATTACAAATTACAAATTACAAATTACAAATTACAAATTACAAATTACAAATTACAAATTACAAATTACAAATTACAAATTACAAATTACAAATTACAAATTACAAATTACAAATTACAAATTACAAATTACAAATTACAAATTACAAATTACAAATTACAAATTACAAATTACAAATTACAAATTACAAATTACAAATTACAAATTACAAATTACAAATTACAAATTACAAATTACAAATTACAAATTACAAATTACAAATGCTAGCAGAATTATGCATAGGTAGGTGGGAATCTATCTTATAACATATGCATGACTCGAATATAGCCAGTGACGCTTTCATCTTGTATTCCAATTGCATACAGATTAACAATCTTTAATAAAGGTAATTCTTTATTTAGATGTTATGATATGTTATTCGACATATCCATAATCCGAACATGACACTCTTTTAGACAACTTCTACTTGCGTTCCCTTGATATTGCGCCTATTTCATTGCGCGATATTCCCAACAATTATACGCCGTCAGAGGTCAATCCCGAATGGTATCCGCAAATGAAATCTAAGTGAGAGTGTTCCAAACGTCAAATTAAGTCATCCTATTCAATGTAAATATCTCCCGATAAAAGCCTGCATGGGCCTCAAGCCGCCAAATCAGGATAACTGAATACTTTATTTTATACCCACTTATGTTTCGAATCGATCGACAATCAACATGTCTATCTTTCCTACTTTCTCCCATGTTTATCTAGAATATTTAACGTCGTGCCCGCGCACAGCTCGCGAGCTCCTCACGTACCGGTTAGCCCAGTCTAAAATAAACTACCCGACGTGTTGGCGCCTACACAGGCTCAACAAAGCATTGAAAGCTAGGATCTTATCATCCTGCGCTCGAAGATTACAGTGTACATGGAGGTCGTCTATCCAACGTATCTCATGCTATGCAGTTGGTACTAAATGAAGAAAAGATTTTACAAACAATGAATAGAAGAAATCGTTTACATCAAATCGTGATTTCGTTCGAATCAGACTTGTGTGTGTGTGCCCTTTCGAAGAAATCTGTGACACGCACCCAATTATTGAATGCACCAACTCCCTCCGCCGAAGCAAGTGCCCAGGATACGCTGGGATTAGAGTTCTGTGCCCTGTGGAGCTGAGCCTGGTATTGCCCGAGCTGGCAATAGAAAAAGTGGTCGGGGGACTTCTCTTCTCCGCATGTGCAGGTTAGAATGGAGTTTTCGTGCTGAAAGCGTCGGAGATAATCCGCGAAGTCGCCATGACCGGACCGTGAAGCTAGTAGATATCCTAATGCGCGTCACCCCAGATGAGCAAGCTCGATGGTAATTTTAGTATTTGGGCCAACATCTAATTCCTTGTATCCTGAGGGTGCATTTTCTGCCCAATAGAGTGCGACTGAAGCCTCGTATTGGGCTTCAACTTCTCTTCTTGCCCTCGCAATGGAGAGTTCTGAGTGTGGAGCTGGAGCCGCACCGGTGGCTTTAGCGAGAGCTTCGGCAACTTCGGTTCCAAGAATACCTGCGTGGCCTCCTTCTCCAGTTCACTGCGAGCTTGCGGAAGAAAAATATTTTCGCCGAGCTGGACGCCGTGGGCGTATCCAAGAGCACACTAACGGCAGCCTCCTGGTTGTCGAGGGAGACAGTAACGATAGAGGCATAATAGGCCAGTGGGTTGCGAAAAGCTGCGACAAGACCTTTCGTAGCCCCGGCCATTTCTGCATCGTAGACTTCCGCCGCGTTTCCGAGCGGGAGTGATCCTCGCCCTATCTCCTGCGCAGGACCTCGGTAAATGACATGACCCGCACCTGCTCAGTCATCTATGAGAGCGACATCTGAAAATACGAATAGTGTTGGCAAACGAACCTAGGCACTCCCGTGCTTGTGGTTTCAGTATGTGTCAATCAAGACTGTCGGGTGTCGCCTATCGGATACATGTAACACCATCACTTTGTATCACGTCTGATATTTGAGATTGTGATGAGAATAAATGTCAAGCTCACTGCGTAACTGGTATCAGATCTGTAATTTGTTCCCTTTTATTCCGCAATAAGACACTACACTCTAGCCCATGTTATTGATAGACATTAATGTATATGAACAGTCTCATATCCTGAAGTAAAGAGCAAGCCTCTACCATAAACATAATTCGCATCGACAGATACACTTTGTGTTGGAAATCGTCAAGGATTTCTAGGAGGAAATATCTCGATGAACAAGTGTACAATTTCGGACAAGAATTTATTGATAGTTGTATAGGATATCGAACTCTCTTCTCAATGTGAATTAATAATATATGATATTCAGTTAACTTGGTTTTATATATACAGATGATTCTATCCTTAAATATAGATCCCCGAGGCTTTAGTGATCCTGGACTCCCAGTGATCTAGCAATAACCAGCCACTCAATTATCGCAAGATAGTATTTCCTAGCCAATTAACCATATTTCGTCTAAATGAGCTTAATCTTATTTCATCGAACTAACTCAATTGATCTTAATGATCATACTTGGAAATCTAAATCTTCATACTAAGTCTAGATTTCCAACACTTTGAAGTTTATACTTCGTGATTTCTCCCTTATCACTCCAAGACCTCTGCATATTCTTAGTTTGTTTTCAACAAATTGGTCTAGGATTGTTCGTTTAGCCTGCCACTATTTGAGGGAATTTGGTCCCAGGAGTCTACCTACTGCCCCAATTTCGATTAGCTTTTCATCGTGGGGGGCCGACCATATTAGGGGAGTATGTTGTCATAGGAGAGTTCTAATGGCATTCTCTGGCGTATCCAGCGCATGCGACTAGTATTCCAACACCTACGAAGAGGCTGGAACGGGTCGGCTGCCGCATTTCGAATTCCCAGAAAGTCTCCGCTCATGTCGATTGTCACTCGATGTGCCCACAAGTTGTAAGGTATTAACGCCATTTGTAGGGCGTTCTGGATGCTTGATAGCTTCGTAAAAACTTCGCTATTTGCGACGACGAGCCGCCATTCTGGTTTGAGGACAACTTTATTTTTTACACTTGTGTATGATTCGTTGTTGAGGTCGTTGGGGAAAACTGCCTCTAGCCAAGCTCTTTTTACGAACTTTTCACCTGGAGTGAGGTTCTCACCAATATCGTTCGTTGCTGAGGTGTCTAGTCTACCCTGTTTGTTTCTTTTAATGGCATCGTTATCGGTGTAATCGGGGTTCTTAGGACGGGAGGAATCCGGGATCTCTTTTTCTTTCCTTTGGCTGATATGTGATCGATTTCCTTGGGCGAGTTGATAGGGTCTGCACTCCCACATGATCTGTTTAACCCTTCTTTTATTTCTCGTCTGACATCGAGGAGAAGTTGTGAAATATCTTGGGATTACTTCTCAGCTCTATTGAAACGTTGATTACTTTTCTCAATGGAAGCCTCGAGTTTATTCTCCAAAAGTTGGATGCGGTTGTTGATGGCTGCAAGGCTGTCATTGAGCTTCTTGTTGACACCTAAGATGGTAGTGTGTTCGGTGGGTGATGACTGACAGTCAGACATGTCGGATGATGGGTTAAGTGATTATGTGAGTTTTGACTCTTCAAAAATATATATTTTTGGGGTTCTTAGGTAGCAAAATAATGTTGGGGTCACGGATGATCGAATATATCTATGAAACGTTATATGAATGTGACTGGTGGTTTACGACTGTCCGGTGCTTCACTGTCGACGATGCTATATGCGCGATAGAAAGCTTTGTAGACTTGTCGTTTTTCCTCCTCCTTCTGAACTACTACCTCGTGCTCTATTTGTACTTACGACCCGTGCCTATTCGGTACCCTTCATATGCCGGCGCTCGATCCTCAGTTTATGTTCGCGCCACCTTTGCCACCGGCTACCACTATCTTTATTCCCATGTGCCTCTCTCTCTACCGTATCCCGCTTATGCTTACTCCTGGTGTCGTTAGTTCGTGTCCCGACTTTATCTATCGGCGTAGCGCTAGGCGCACGGACTGTCCATGGTTTCGGTGCCTGGAACCTCACAGGAACGCGTTGTGTGGAATCCTCAGCAACGTTGGCATTACTCGATCGGTCGTCGGCGTGAAAAGGGCATTGCCGGCCCGCTCTTGTCAAAGAGACGAAATTTTGTGTTCGCTGGTTTCTATTGGAAATATATAATCCAGCTCGTTGAGTATTGGCCAAGTTTTGTTTCTGTGGGCCATACCTGGATTGGTGTGGCGCCACATACAGTCTGGCACTCGTTTTTCATCATGTCGTTGGTGACTGGGATTCTGCCTTCAAGCGTCCTGATGTACAATGGTACATGAGGTACGATCGTTGATGTCGATTTGGACGCTTCATCCATCACAGTGTTGTCTTCCTGTAGGGAAGGTGCAATCCTCATGATTATATCTCTCAAAGTATCTGATGCGCATTAGAGAGCGATCCCCGACCTGACTGAATACATGGACGTGATAGCGGAAGTCACTATCCCTGCCTTGTCGGTGATTATTTTCTTGATCGTGACTAGTGATAACTTGTGCCACTGGTGATCTTTCCTCAATCGTAGGAACAAGCGCTTGTCCTCCTTTGAGGTTGTCCGTGCCTTCGGGTGGCTTGTTGGAACTGGTCTTCTCGGAACTTGCGCACTAGGCGGAGATAATAGCTTGGCTGCTTTGCCGACTACTATCGCCCAGATCGATCTTGTGCCTTGAGGTTTTGGCGGTAGGCTGTGGCCGTTATCCTCAATAACAATATGGTTCCTAGGCGCGGCTGGTTTTAGAGTGCTTGCCATGATGGGGGGCTTCTTACTTGGAAAGTTGGTTGCTTCTGCCTGATCTACTGCGAAGGCAGTTGTTATAGGCGTGATCTTTTCCATCAGCGTCGCGACGACTGCTGCTGCTTGCTTCTCTCCTTTGCTCTTGGCCCAGGAGTCGGTTAGTTCAAAAAATTCCTGGACTATACCCAATCTTTCTTCCCTTTGTTGTTCTACTTTTTGCATTGTATTCACAATGCCAAGCAGGCTTGGATGAAGGTGCCCTCCTGGATTGGAGGGCGTTATCGATGACGATACAACAGCTGGGGCCATTGCACCGATTGGAGATTCTTGTAAAAAAATAAAAGGATAATGGAGGATGCCATGTGTGATGATCTCTTAGGAGCGTCGATTGATTGATTTTCGTTGCGATTCCAGAGTAAGAGGAGCAGAAAGTGTAGCTTAAAGAATATTGTTTTCATTGAAGTTCTAAGTTACATATAAAACGCGAGTTTAGGTGTGATTATCCTAGAGTTAAAGTGGGTATGCAAACAGCAATCATTACGGTAAAAGGTTTTCAGCATACCTGACCACGAAACCATTGTGCGGGGTTTAGGATAGTACTAACCCCGCGCCATTAACGCCATCCTATTTGTCGCAAAGTAAACATGACCATGTCTCTCACTGCATTTGCAACTAGTATCATTCTACCCCGCACATGCAAATGCATGAAAGAATATCTCAACAGCGAAAAGAAATCAAAATGTAGAATACAGGATGTATTATGCAGCATGCAAGAATATTGTTCATATTTGCAAGGAATGCCGATTATCGTAAGAAATGTGGCAAATTCCAACAATTTTAACGTCGTGCCTGTCCACAGTTCGTGACCTTCCACCTGCTTGTTGTTGTTGTGTTTTAAAAGTCCTGAGCTAAAGTAAAAAGCTCTACATCCTACTATTGGTACAGGACCGGTGGAGCCGGTAAGGATCACTGTGCACAGGCCCAACTCATTCCAACCGCGTGAACTTCGACATAAATAATGGTGTTAACAGCAAAACTGAAATCAAAATCAAAAATCAAATTCAGAAGAAATCCCAGTTAGGTCTGGATCCCGCGCTTCTCGCCCGTTCCCTTTCCTATCACATCTTCCAATTGACACTTTCTAACCTTCGCTGAGAGCAGAGGATGAGCTCGCAAGCACCCTTTCTCCATCTGGCGGCCTACTGTTAGTGTGTTGAAGCCTCGACGACTTCACTGAGGCTGGCCGTAACCTTAAACCTCCTCTTCGGATTCCAAATTCCCAAAACCCTATCCGTCTGGCATATAGACATCGTTCTTCGCGCCGTGATGCGCCTGAATGGCTATTTCAGCTGCAGCACTGATGCGAGCATAATCAGCGTCATTTTTCTGCTCGACCTTGCGAATTGTCGTAAGCTGCTCTTTTTTCACCGAGCCGAAATTGCTGGGTCTGGCTTTGCAGAGCCGTGAGTCCGATCGATGAGGTCCACCACAGTTTCGGCACCGTGTGGGGGCTTTGTACTCCTCTTACGAATGCATTTTTAATCCGCAGTTCCAGCAAGCCAGAGCGCAGGAGCAACGTCGTGAGGTATGGAAGCCAAGATGTCGATTGCACTGAACAATGTTTCGACGAGGTTAGAAGAGATTTGCAGTTCCAGAGTCATTGAAGAAGCGAAATCCAGCTCGGACCCCTGCTTTTTTTTTTTTTGCATCAGATTTTAATTGCGTATGCAGCTATCTAGCTATGACACAATATCAGAGAAAAGTACAGAATAGATGATTCAACGTAAAGGAAGAGCACTCATGCCTCGTATTTAATTTGCAGGTACCACTGCAAAGTTATGGCGGCTTTTTCTTCACCCCAAGTCAACCCTCATCCGTGAATACTCAGCCAGGGGAACATCTCAAAAACTCTCAGTTGTTCAGACATGTCTCTATCATCCATTAACTTTTCCCCACGCGAAATGTGATCTGAGATGTCTCCTTCCCAAGTGAAGTAGGTGCCCAGGCTACTCAAATTATACCAGAGAATACCACCAGGAGGCGAACCACAACACCTTCCATCGTTTGCTTGTGTTTATAGTGTTAGCTGCACTCTCGCAAGCGAAGTCTTGGCGCGCACAAAGCTCAATTCGTAAAACTATTTCCAAAAATCGAAATTTCACGCCCGTCGAGAATGTATCCCTCTTCTGCATCATCTTGTAAACTTGTCCTGATCCCTCTCACGTCCGTCCCAAAGAGCTATCTCGCAGATTTGTGCGCCACGCTTTGCTTCCTCCGTCGGGTGTAAATATCGGCGTGGGCGTGTATTTGGTGACCGGTTGAGGCCAGAGAAAGTCGACGAGAGGTGTGGTCATTGAAACGAGGATGTACTTGGTCGTACTTGTAGACTTGATGAAGCTTAGTTGAGAATCGGACTCTTTGGGAGTGAAAGATTAACATGGTGGAGTAATTTGAATTTTTGCCTCGTGGGCCAACTTCTTTGATGTTGCGAAATTTGACTGAACTTGGCTCTGGGAGAATATTTCACTCCCAGGTTCGTAGAGAGCACCACTGACAGGTGTTCAGTCTTGCCCTCCTGGACCCCTGCTTGTCTTATAGTGTTTATTTGTTTTTGTCGATAACCTTGTATCAGTGGCTATTTACCACATTCGGCTCTTTTCTGACCAGGACACACTTTTTACACTACTCCTGTCATCTTTTGTAACGAAGGTATCTCAGAAATATGTTCCCCTCGATGAATAGCCACTCAGCTCAGTGTTTACCCGTGGTAGTCAGCCACCTTTTCCACGGAACCTTCTGCCCCCAAAAATAAATCGTAGCAATGGTGACTGCATGCGCGGGAAAAAGTCTCAAAAAACCTGCAACCCCAGCCAGGCGAGGCCTAGACACCGGGACCAAATGAGATGCGTATATCCATCTATATCTCCGTTCTTTGTAACAGTTGATGCCGACTTGATCCAATCCGCCATCTCCGTATCGGGTGCTGGGTACGCTCCGGAAACTCATCGGATGGCTTTTCCTCCATGATAATGGTGATGGGGGAATATGTTGAGAGATGAAGACGATACAGACCGCGAAAGCGATTAGGAATCCTCATCGAAGTGAGGACTTTGTTAGTCAATCTCGGCTCTGCAGACTCTACAGTGAGAGCTGGAGGTTCGTAGGGGACACAACTGACAGGTGTTGAGAATATTCCCCCTTGTCTTATAGTAAACGAGTTTGGATATTGATTTGATTTCATGTCGTATCAGACTTACGTCCTTCACCCAAAAGGCGTGATACGGGTCTAAGCTCCCTGGGAACATACTACAATCTAAATACATTGTTTGCTTGTCTTTCTTTTTTTTCTTTTTATTGTCCTTTCTGAGACTTTGACTATGTAAGACATGCAGGTCCTCTCTGCCTGCAGGCCAAGTATACCTATACCAGAAGAATATACCCTCCTATGCCTCCTACAAAGCTCCAATCGAAATGTACTACCTCTCACAAGTCCTCATTCGATCATACACTTAGAGGAGCCCTTTGCCCTTCATCATCCCCCATGTCTAGCTAACGAAACCATGTCTATTTGCAGGTATAAGGCAGCCAGCAAAATCGCAAAAGCCACTGGGTGCGGGACTCTTTTATGACCGATATTAAGACTTAATCCTGAGACCTAGTGACCCTTCTGAAGCATTCTGTCGAACTAATAGAGACCTGCATATGAGGCTGAATAAGGCTGATGAGGAAGCAGGCGCAATCAACTGTGCGTTACACAATGTATCTATTATTATCTCCCTGGAACCATTATTTAAAATTTTGCATGTAGGTTATAGTCTGGAATCTTGTACTGTAATTAGTTGCGCCGACTTTTACTTGTTTGCTATATTAGCGTTCATCATGTTTTTACCTAGTGTTTAAAATTAGATAACACAGTCTGTTTGTAAGACGGGATAATGAGATAACGTGGTCTGGACTATGGAAACTGACTGAAGGAAGACGAGCGAGCTGGTACTTAAACAGAAGTGAGATCATGGAAGATACGACAATCAATCATTTTCTCTTTCCCTTCTCTTTGAGAAAACATCCAAGTCCCAATCCAGTGACACGCTCAAGGGGGCCGACCAGCTGGCCGCGGCAGACTTGTGGGTACCTCGGGAAATTCACACTCTGCCTTTCTAGACTCTTTCTAACTCCTTCCCTAAGGTCCTGCTGAAATTTCACAAAAGTTTTGACAGAGCGTGATTGCTGTATGGTAGCTTAGCCCAACTTCTTTTGTGCCGTGTTGGACGTTGGGGAGTGCCGTTGACTCATCGACAATTGAAGTCCTCCCAGCCAATTAGCCAAA